TATTAATTATCAAAATTAGCAAAATTAAGGACTGTAATTTAAAAAATATATAAATAAATAAATAAAAATTTCACATAAATTTGAATTAGTAAAAATTTGTACTAATTGGAACTAGTGACTGACTTTTTGCTTTTGAATTAATAAATTTTACTACTAAATTAGTAGAAATTACTATTTAGTATTTATTAGTAAAATAGTAACTACTAAATTAGTAGAAAATACTATTTATTAGTAAATAGTAACTACTAAATTACTAGAAAATACTAAATTAGTAGAAATTACTAGTTATTAGTAGAATTTTACTAATTAGAAAGCAAAATGTTAATCACTAATTCAAATCAGCAGAAATTTTAGTAAAGTAGTAGAAATGTTTAGTAAGTTAAATTACTGTCTCCCTTTTTGGTTTTAAATTAGTAGATATTGCTACTAAATAGTAATTTCTACTAATTTTACTAAAATTCACCAAAATGTTTACTAATTTCATACTTTTTGCTTTAGAATTAGTAAATTTTACTAATAAATTAGTAGAAATTATCAAATTACTATTTATTAGTAGAAATTATTACTGATTAGTAAAATTTACTGTAATTCAAAAGAGCAAAAAGTTAGTCACTAATTCAAATTATAGTAAAATTTTTACTAAATCAAATTTTGAGAGAACACTCTAAATTAGCAAAATTTAGAACTACAATTTAAATAAATAAAAATTTCCCCAATTTCCAGAGAGTAAATTTCGAAATTAAAACTCCCCAACTTGAAATAATCGTAAAATTTCAAATTTTATAACAAACATTAAATTCTCAAATTTAAAAAAAACAACTTATCCAAATGACTAAAATCATGAAAATAATTTTATTATAGATTTCGATTTATTCGTTTATTTGCATATATACATATAATATTCTGAAATTCGATGCTTGGCTTTTGAGTTTAATTAAAATGATGGCCCTATTAATTTCATGCATTTCCATTTAATTAAATAGAATATGAAAATATTTGTAACATGTGCAAACACACAGAGTCGACAGTGAGAAGATTCTCTCTAAAAAGGAAATTATATATGGTTACTGCACTTTATCTCAGGTAAACGAATGAAAAAAAAGCAGCCGCGCTGTTAAAAAAACAAAGGATGAATTTTCTTTTGTGAAAACACTATATCCCTCTTCATTGTAGATTCTGCTTTAGATTTTATGCTTTGAAGATTAAAAAATCTGTAAAGCTTCAAATGTTATATAATTTTTCCATTTATAATGAGATGATAAAAGACAATTCTATAAGTATTATTTGTTTTTCAAATGCATACATTCTTTTACGCTTTATTAATTTTTTTAAAATTTTATTATTTACTTTTCTATTAATAATGTTTTTATTTTATTTTTTCATTTTTTTTCATTTTTTATTTACACAATATTTTTCTGCAGATATTAAATTGAGACAAAAAATGAATCAAAACGTTGCTTCGCAACACTTTTGATTCGTTTTTTTTTCTCAATTTGATATCTGCAGAAAAATTGTGTATTTAACTTTTCTATTTTTTTAATTTTTTGTTTATTTACACTTTTTATAGTTTTCTACTTTTTATTTATTTACTTTTTTTATTTTGTTCTATATTTTATTTACTTTTTTATTATTTTATTTTTGCTTTTTATTTATTTACATTTTAATTATTTTTTGTTATTTTTATTATTTATTTTAATTTTTTATTTATTTACTATTTCTATTTTTTCTACTTTTTATTTACTAACTTTTCTTATTTTGTTCTGCTTTTTAAAGTTTTTTTATTTTAAAAAAATAAAAAAATTTTCGACATTTTATTTATTTACCTTTTTATTTTATTTATTTATATTTTTATTTATTATTTTCAATTTGTTCTAACTTTTTATTTATTTAGTATTTTTTTTATGTTTCTAAAGTTTCCAACGTTCATATGAACGACAATATTTTTTACTACTTTTAATTTCTATTTTTTTTAATAAAAAAATGATTTTGTATCTTAAAAAATGTACTTGTAACTAAACAACTGTTTAATTTTCATTATTATTTTTCTTTTTTTGTATAGTAATTTCGAAAAACATATAAAATATAGAAAAACATTTCTTTCATTTGAACGTTTAAAACTTAAGGAAAATCTTTTTTTATTTTTTCTACTCTTTATCTGCTTAATTCTTTTGTTTTTTTCCTATTTTTTATTTGTTAACTTATTTTTTCCTGTTTTTTAATTGTTTACTTATTTTATTTTTCTATTCTCTAAGTTTGAATTAGTAAAAATTTGTACTAACATTTGAATTAATTACTGACATTTTACTTTTCAATTATAGTTAATTTTACTAACAAATAGTCATTTTTACAAATTTTTTAGTCAAATTTACTAGTCAAATTTTCTACTAAATTTTTTAAGTAAAATTTACTGTAGTATAATTTTCTACTAATTATTTTAGTAAAATTTACTAGTATATTTAAGTTAGTTAATAAGTTAGTATAACTTACTACTAATTTTTTAGTAGAATTTACTAGAATTTTTTTTTAATTTTTTCAAAAAAATTTAATATTAAAACTTTCTATTAATTATTTTAGTGAAATTTACTAGTTAGTTTAAGTTAGTTAATAAGTTAGTATAACCTTCTACTAATTTCTTAGTATAATTTACTAGGGAAATTTTCTGAATTTTTTAGTAAAATTTACTATAGTAAAATTTTCTAATAAATTTTTTAGTAAAATTTGCTAGTAAAATTTTCTACTAATAGTTTTAGTAAAGTTTACTATAGTAAAATTTTCTAATAATTTTTTTAGTAAAATTTACTAGTAAAATTTTCTACTAATATTTTTAGTAAAATTTACTATAGTAAAATTTTTTACTAATTTTTTTAGTAAAATTTTCTACTAATATTTTTAGTAAAATTTACTATAGTAAAACTTTTTACTAATTTTTTTAGTAAAATTTACTAGTACATTTAGGTTAGTTAGTAAGTTAGTATAACTTTCTACTAATTTTTTAGTAGAATTTACTAGGAAAATTTTCTAATTTTTTTAGTAAAATTTACTATAGTAAAATTTTCTAATAATTTTTTTATTAAAAGTTACTAGTAAAATTTTCTACTAATTTTTTTAGTAAAATTTAATATAGTAAAATTTTTTAATAATTTTTGTAGTAAAATTTACTAGTAATTTTAAGTTAATAAGTTAGTTAATAAGTTAGTATAACTTTTTATTCTAAAAATTCTACTAAAAAAATAAGTAGAATTTACAACGTAAATTTACTAATTTTTCTAATAAAATTTACTAGTAATACTTTTTATTAATTTTTTTAGTAAAATTTACTTTAAAAAAAAAAACTAATTTTTTAGTAGAATTTACAAAGGAAATTTTCTAATTTTTTTAGTAAATATGACTATAGTAAAATTTTCTACTAATTTTTTTAATAAAATTTGCTAGTAATATTATCTTCTAATTTTTTAGTAGAATTTGCTATAGAATTTTTTTTATTTTTTTAGCAAAATTTACTAGTAAATTTAAGTTAGTAAATTAGTTAATAAGTTAGTATTACTTGTAATTATAAATATTCTAATAAAAAATAAGTAGAATTTACAACGTAAATTTTCTAATTTTTTTAAATAAAATTTACTATAGTAAATTTAAGTTAGTAAGTTAGTTAATAAGTTAGTATAACTTTCTACCAATTTTTTAACAGAATTTACTAGCAAAATTTTCCACTAAGTTTTTAGTAAAATTTACTATAGTAAAATTTTCTACTAATTTTTTAGTAGAATTTACTAGGGAAATTGTTTAATTTTTTTAGTAAAATTCACTAGTAAAACTTTCTACTAATTTTTTAATTATTATTTATAATTATTTAATTATTTATTATTTCCCATTTAATATATTTATTTAAATATTCCACCACTGTTGTTGCACTTTATTAATTATTTCAAAGTGGAATATTTTATGGGTGAAGTTTATTTAACTGATCAATAACTAATCGTTTATCAGAGTTTGCCTTTTGCCCTTGTCAAGTAGAATGAATTTAACTTGTAATAATCTAAAAGCAGATCACAAAACAATTTATTAACTGAAGATTCAGTGGGAAATAATGCAACGGAGAAGAAATAAGGAAAATATATTTTTATAGACACATAAAAATTATATATGTGTAGCCAATTAAATATTTGTTTACCATAATTCATTAGATTTTCATTTCTATTTAGTGTAAATATTTTTTTCCTTTGTATTTTTATCCCAAACAAATAAACAAACTATAAATAAATAAATAAAGTTTATTTTTAGAAAAATTTATATTTATATTGACATTTTGTTTATTTATGTGCATTTTGTATATTTCTAAACATTTTCTATGTTTTACATTTATTTATTAATTAATTTATTGATAGGTATATTTATTTTTACGTTTATATTTATAAAAATTTCGAGAATATTTTCGATTATTTTTATTAACTTTCTACTATTATTACTATTTTCCATTATTTTCCACTGAATCTTCAGTTAATAAATTATTTTATTATTATTATTCTTATTTCTCTTTTAATTTAGTAAAAATATTTATTTAAATAGTAATTTCTACTAATTTTTTAGTAAAATTTACTAATTCAAAAGCAAAACGTGAGTCATTTATTCAAATTAGTAAACATCTTTACTAATCCTAATTTAGAGAGATTATTTTAATTTTTATTATTAATGATTATTTTAATTTTAAGTTTTATTAATATTATATTGAAAAAATAAAAAAAGTTTTTTTTTCTAAATTCAAAGCGCGGTTTTTAATGAGACACTATTTTTCTTCGCTACACATACACATGGACGCATAATTAATTTTAATCACCTGGCAAAAATGGTTGATAATTAAAGTGACAATTATGTTAATCGACTCTTCATTTTTTGTTTAGTTCCACTGCGTGAAATTAATGATCGGGTTTTAAAAAATTACTTCACTAGAGTGGCAAAGAAAAATCGATTCCAAAAAAAAAAAGAAACGTGTGTATCCTTACCGCCATTCTTAACGTCCTCTTTCGCATCTTCCGCCGCCGGCTGAACAGTTTCCTTACTGGTGTTGCATCCCATTTTGAAACCTGAGTCTTATTTTCTTTTTCACTTTTTTTTTTAGTCAACGAGTCAATAATTTTAAAAAAAGTTTTTTTTTTCCCGATAGAATATTAAACCAATTATGTTGTTTTTTTCTTTAAACTTTCTTGTTTCTTATCAAACTATATATACATAATTATTAAATATATAATACTCGCTCTTTTATAATTGAAATTCGTGACAAGCTTTTTTTCTTTTTCTTTTTTCCTGTTGCGTGGAAGGAAAAGGCGACGACTCGTCTGGCGTCGAGTAGAAAAATATATACTATATATTCTGTTTGATTTTTAGAAAAAAAAGAGAAGTATTCAGTTTCCACACTCTGGAAAATGCAATTCCACAATTATTTGGAGTCACACAGTGTGTGTGTCTGTGTGTGTGAGAGAGGAGAGAAAAATCACAGATTCGCTTGGATGCCACACTTTCTATATATATCACCTATTTTTTTCCCCCTCGATAATTTTCTCTAAATGGAAAAAAAAATTCTTTTATAATATATTGGCGCAAAAATATTGTTTTGTCTGCAAATTATATCTATTTTGCTTTTTTTTTTTTTGTTAATTAAGCTTTATCAAATTTATATTTGATTGACTTATCGGGTTTAATTCCGATTGTGAAATAATACACTTTTAATAATTATATTATCGTGTGGAGAAAATTTGTTTTTGATTTTCTTTTTAATTTGATTTGTTTTAATTAATTTTTTAAAAATTATTTTATTTTAATCACTAATTATATTAATCACTAATTTCGTTAATTATTAATTTTATTAATCACTAATTTTATTTATTATTAATTTTATTCATTACTAATTTTATTAATATAAAATAATAATAATAATAATAATTTATTTTTAATTTTATCAATTGTTAATTATTAATTATTAATTTTTACCTTTTTTAATTATTAATTTTTACTTTTTTTAATTATTAATTTTATTAATATTTATTTTTATTATTCAGTAATTTTTATTTATAAATTTTAATCTTTTTTTTTTGTAAATTTTACTTATGAATTATAATTTTTTTTTGTAAATTTTATTTATAAATTAAAATGTTATTTGTAAATTTTTTTGTGTGAATTACAATTTTATTTGTAAATTTTATTTATAAATTATAATTTTATTTTGTAAATTTTATTTATAAATCAAAATTTTATTTTGTAAATTTTATTTATTAATTATAATTTAATTTTGTAAATTATGTTATTTGTTAATTTCACTTGTAAATTAAATTTTAATTTCTTTTAGTTTATAGGCAGTCCAAGTAGAGGCAATTTTTTTTTGTTAGCATAGTTAGGCTTTTATTTTTTAATTTTATTGTTCTTGTTTTTTTTGTTTATTTTTCGCAATATTTTCGAAATACCGGCAGATTGTGCGCTCTGGACGATGTGTGTTAATTAAAATTGAATGAATTTTATTTTTACTTAGGCCTCACGCACACATTTTTTTTTCCTTTGGAACTATAGTCAATTTTTTGTTGAGATTTATTTTTTGTTCCTTCTTTTCTTATTTATTTTTCACTTATTTTTTTTTATTTAGGTATTTCTCATTTGTTTTTTCTAATTAATTTCTTATCTCTTTCTCATTTATTTTTCTTATTTATTTCTTAATTATTTTTAATTTTTATTTATTTATTTTTTATTTCTTATTTATTTTTTATTAATTTCATATTCATTTCTTCTTTACTTGTTATTTATTTTTAATTTTTTATTTCTTGATTATTTATTTCCGATTTACTTTTTCCCATTTATCTACTAATTTTCAATTGTTATTAATTTTTTGGTGTGTAATTAGCGTTATTATAAAGTACTACCGGCGAATGATAAAACTAGACGAGATAGAATAGAACATGCCCGTCGCCGTTCGCGGGCCATACTGAAGAGACTATTCGCCGACCCTGCCCTTGCGTCGCGACTGCCAACGTCGATATATATGTATATAGAACTAAAACGCACACACCGAGTGAATCAGAAAAAAAACTACCCTGAACAAAGGATTATTGGATGGCGTATAGCAGAGTCGTTAACGTGGCTTGTACCCCCGTGTTATACACACTGAAAATATGAATTAACTTGATGATAATTTCAGATTAACAATAGGGTGGGGAGGGGGGGGGGGGTAGAGAAATTTATATTCGATATAAATCTGGTAAATTAATATTCTTTGATTTAATAATCAATATTATAGTCACTTATCGCGTGAGTCTTTTGTTTTTTTTCAAAAAAAAAAAAAATTATGATTGATTATTGTCAAGTATATTATAATTGTGGACTGGTAGTTTTTTGAAAGAAAATTTTTCTTTGAGTACTTGATTGGTAATATTGTGAAGTTCACTTCTTCTGTGATTGATGATTTATAAAGAATATTTTTTTCTATAGATAAATTTTGAGAGTTCTTTTTATTTTATCTAATTTTATTTTTCTATTCTCTAAGTTTGAATTAGTAAAAATTTGTACTAACATTTGAATTAATGACTGACATTTTACTTTTCAATAATAGTTCATTTTACTAACAAATAGTCATATTTACTAATTTTTTAATCAAAATTACTAGTAAAATTTTCTACTAATTCTTTTAGAAAAATTTACTAGTAAACCTTTCTACTAATTTTTTTTTAGAAAAATTTACTGGTAAAACTTTCTACTAATTTTTTTTTTAGTAAAATTTACTAGTAAAACTTTCTACTAATTTTTTAGTAGAATATACTAGGGGAATTTACTAATTTTTTCAGTAAAATTTACTATAGTAAAATTTTCTTCTAATTTTTTTTAGTAAAATTTACTAGTAAAACTTTCTACAAATTTATTAGTAGAATTTACAAAGGAAATTTTCTAATTTTTTTAGTACAAATTACTATAGTAAAATTTTCTACTAATTTTTTTAGGTAAAATTTACTAGTAAAACTTTTTAGTGTTTCTACTAATTTTTCAGTAGAATTTGCTATAGAAATTTTCTAATTTTTTTAGTAAAATTTACTAGTAAAACTTTCTACTAATTTTTTAGTAGAATTTGCTATGAGAAATTTCTAATTTTTTTAGTAAAATTTGCTAGCAAGATTAAGTTAGTAAGTTAGTTAAAAAGTTAGTATAAATTTCTACCAATTTTTTAGTAGAATTTACTAGCAAAAATTTTCTACTTCTTTTTTAGTGAAATTTAATATAAAAAAATTTTTTATTAATTTTTTTAGTAAAATTTACTAGTAAAACCTTTTATTATTTATTTTTAGTAAAACTTACTAGTACAACTCTCTACTAATTTTTTTTTAGCAAAATTTACTAGTAAAACTTTCTACAAATTTATTAGTAGAATTTACTAGTAAAGCTTTCTAGTGTTTCTACTATTTTTTTTAGTAGAATTTGCTATAGAAGTTTTCTAATTTTTTTAGTAAAATTTACTAGTAAAACTTTCTATTATTTTTTTTAGTAAAACTTACGAGTACAACTCTCTACTAATTTTTTTAGTAAATTTACTAATAAAACTTTCTACTAATTTTTTAGTACAATTTACTATGGAAATTTTTTAATTTTTTTTTGTAAAAATTACTATAGTAAAATTTTCTACTAATTTTTTTAGAAAAATTTACTAGTAAAACTTTCTAATAATTTTTTTTAGTAAAATGTACTAGTAAATTTAAGTTAGTAAGTTAGTTAATAAGTTAGTATAACTGTCTAGTAATTTTTTAGAAGAATTTACTAGGGAAATTTTCTAACTTTTTTAGTAAAATTTACTATAGTAAAACTTTCTTTTAATTTTTGTATTAAAATTTACTAGTAATACTTTCTACTAATATTTTTAGTAAAATTTACTAGTAAATTTAATTTTATAAGTTAGTTAATAACTTAATAAGTTAGTATAACTTTCTACTAATTTTTTAGTAAAATTTCATAGGGAAATTTTCTACTAATTTTTTAAGTAAAATTTACTACTAAAATTTTTTGCTAGTTTTTTAGTAAAGTTTATTAATTCAAAAGCAAAAAGTCAGTCACTATTTTTTATTACTTACTTTTATGTTTTTATTATAAAAAAGGTACATAAATATATATATATTTACGTACTTTTTTATTTAATTTTTTTGTTTTTATATTTTTATATTTTTTAACCCTTTGTGATTAAATTATTTACCAAATTTTCTTTTTTTCTCTGTTTCAGGTGAGTGAATAATCCATTAAATAACTGAAAGTGTTCTTCTACTTTTCAGGTAATATTTTTAAATATTTAATCAAAGAAAAAAAGTATGGAGTAAATTTATTTCGCAATATTTTCTATATAACATTATTTATTAAACCCTTTTTCTTCGATTCGAAAAGGGAGTTTTGTTTATACCTACATGTGCGTGAATATTGATATTCATTGTAGGTTTCTGAACACAGAACTGTATTTAGTGCCACTAATTAGTTAATGACATTGAATAGGCGCAAATGACAAGCTTCGTGATAGTTATAGCCTTGTCCTTCAAGAGAACTCGCTTTAGATATAAAAAATATACACGCGGGTAAAAATTCTTTTTAATTTAGATTAATATTTATACCTGAAGGGGTGGTGGTAAATATAGAACATAAATTTTTACTATATTGGTATAATAAATCTCATTTTCGATACAGAGAATCATTAATTTTTTAATCACTTTTTGTTTTTGAATTTTAGTAGATTTTACTAATAAATTTGTAGAAATTACTTATTCAATAACATGTAAATTAGCTCACAGTTTTTTTAAGAATATCAAATTGAGACACAAAACGAATCGAATTTTGAATTACTAAATTTTACTAATAGTAGAATTTACTTTTTATTAATAAATTTTTTAATTCAATTATAAGTAAATTAGCTCACAGTTTTTCTAAGAATATCAAATTGAGACAAAAAACGAAATTGTTGCGATGCAACAATTTTGATTTGATTTTTGTCTCAATTTGATATTTCCAGAAAAACAGTGAGTAAAAATAATTATTAGTAAAATTCACTTTTTTAACAACAAATAAATTAGTAGAAATTACTATCAGTCAAAAGTGAGTATTCTTATATTAATTGTGAATTAGTTGTTCGGATTTTGTAGAAAAAGTACCAAAAAAAATTGTTTTTAATTTTAAAATGTTTTTATTAAATTTATCCAATATATTTAAATCTGTTTATTTATGTGATATTGACATAAAAATTAATAATTTTCATTAATCGAAAATAAAAAAAAATTTAATAAAATAAATACACGACGAGGATGGGATTCGAACCCACGCGTGCAGAGCACATTGGATTAGCAGTCCAACGCCTTAACCACTCGGCCACCTCGTCATATGTTATCAATAAATTACAATTTTTTTTTCATAAAATATAATTAAGTAACTAGTAAATTATTTGCGACTTACCTTCAATTAAATGTTAAATATAATTTTCGTTAAACACAATATAACACATATTGTGTGTAATTAAGTCCATAGTTAATTATATTTTATTGATTATTATAATTATAATATACTATATATTTTATTTTTATTAATTATTATTATTATTATTATTATTATTATTATTATTATTATTTTTTATTATTATTATTATTATTATTATTATTATTATTATTATTATTATTATTATTATTATTATTATTATTATTATTATTATTATTATTATTATTATTATTATTATTATTATTATTATTTCTTCTACTGTTTCTTTTTTTTCTTCTTTT